TCCAGCAGTTATCAGAACAACACCCTTCTCTCAGGCTTTGGTGTCCAAGAGGTCCTAAGGGCTGGTCTTCTAGCTGGTGACCAGTGCTATGAGGGAGCTCTTCCCTGAATCCATGAAACTCAGTGGTGTTTTTAATGGTAGGTGTCTAGAGAACGAGGATCCAGACCCAGCCCTCCCTTGCCCCAGCCTGGTTGCTGTAATCTCGAAGGCTCTTTTTGACCTCCTGTCTCGTTTCCTATACAAAGCATTTTTAGCTCCACTTGGTTTAGTTTCAGTTCCCACAGGAGAACGGGTGATGCAAACTGTCTCCTTGCATCTAAGTCACCTGTGGCTTGGGCGGTCTCCTGAGACAGGACGTGGGACTGTCACCTCTTAGGCTGAGAAGGGACCTGGAACTCCACCTCACCCGAGCGTGTGCTCCAGCATTATAGCTATTGCGTGCACTGCCACGGCCACTGCCTATTTAAAACCAGTGATTTTGTTAAAGGAACGTGTTTGGTGGGTTTGGGCAAGGTGTGAAAACACGTGCCAGATCAAGTCTTCTCAAGTGCTCGTACAATTCTGTCCCTGGGTCTCATCAGGCTTAAGCGAAAGTTCTCGTCTAGGTGGGAAGGCCAGTGCGGCTCACGGCACGTACAGACCCTTCGGGGCCCAGCAACCGTAAGCATTTCTTGGGCTGCACTTTTGGATTTAGGCACCTAGACCTTTCTGGGGCCACTTTGCAGAAGGTCCCTTTCTACGCCTATTTGCTACTATCCACGGCCAGACTATCCTGTACGGGCATGAAGTTTTCCTATACGGTCATTTCATTTCCAAAGGCATGGTTTTAAATGACCAATTTGCATCACTTAAATACTGCTGAAACAGCCAGGGATTTGCATGAGTGTCGGAGACCACCGTCTCTCTCTGCTAAACCATTTTGGTACATGCCGAATTGAGTTTTTGCTGGCTGGGTTCCTGAGATTCAATACTTCTTGCTTCTGGCTAGTAGCTCTTTATAATTAGAAACATCCTTATCATCCATTTCCACAGCCACTTTAAGTGGAACAAGTTTATTTTTTTGTTTTCAACAAAAGAAAGATTTTTTTTCTCAATAATGGCCACTTTGAACTGACTGATGCCCTCCCCAACCTGTTTTCCATGACATGATGCGTTGCCCATGCACAACCACTTACAAATCCTGCGTTTGTCTTGCTTCCCCAAAAAAACCCACCAAAACCCAAAACCCCAAATCAGTCTTTCAAACATCATTTCTAAGAGCTTTTAAGGGTTACAGTTCTCTAACAGAACTCTTCAGCCAGACCTGGACTGCCGAAGCCAAGCCTCAAGCTAAGTTTAGAGAAAATGAAATCACAAGGTATCGTGCAAAAGATGAGCTTGGAGCCATCCCCCTGCCCCAGTAACTTCAGAGGGGATGTGCTGAAGGGCTGTGTTTATTCAGAAGCCCTGCTCACAAAAGCTCATTTATGTCACTACGTGCTTTGTATCAGAGGGCCAGACCCTCCATTCCCACCTTGAGCAGCACTAAATTCAAACTCGCTACAGTTTTCCTGCCAGTCTCATACCTTCCAGATACAATCGTATGCTCAGGTAAGAGTAACCACGGAGAAGGCTTTGCTTTCAGTTCTTGTTTTACCGCTGAAACAGCGCTAGTTATAAAAGGACAACTTTGATGCATTAGCACAGCTCACTTCAGCTCAGAGATACCGTGTCCTTTTGGAAAGATGGAATATTCAACCCGTATTACAACTATCCACCTTCACAACCCTCCAGGGGCCAAACCATCCAAGGTGTTTAGGTACCTGGAAATCACAGGCAGCACCCCCAGTAGGTAGAAGTATGTTATAGTACAATCACAAAGGCATTCAAGTGAGTGATAAACACAAAAGCACACAGCAGAGATTATGCCAATGATACTTGTATTTATTTATTTTTTCCCAGAAGCCCCAAGGACAGGAATAGAAAAGTTCCAGTAGAAATGTCACACACACAGTTTAGCAACTAAGACATTTGAAAAGCTCAGAGACCTCAAGTTTGTAAATTGCTATAAGTAAAGTGATGCACAAAGAGGTGTGATGTCTCTAAAAAGTAGATTGATTTATTCCGAACTTAAAAGGATTTCTATTTAATGAAGGTAAGCTGGATCTTTGGAGATAGATGCCTTTTCAAAAATTTTCCTCCAGCAAAGCTACAGATAAACCCAGGAAAAGGAGAAAGCCCCCCAAATCCTTTGAATAACGTCTGACCATGTCTAATGAGAATGCTTAAGCAGCAAAATTCAGACCCTTGTAGAGTTGCCCTTGTAGAGAAATCATTGGACTAAGTGAGGCAGTAATTAACACAGGAGGGGAAGCATGGTTTTCTGACACTGGATGAGGGGAAGATGCATGCTGGTAAGAGGCCAGGCTAGCATCAAGGCAGTTCAACACGTTCTCCTATGAAGAGTCACTGGTCTTTCTCGCTTCAAGACAGAAAGAGGAAGAAAAAAAATTCATATCCAACTGGGTATATTCCCCATCAGACACGAAAAGTTCTTGCAATAAAATCAGGAACCCAGAAAAGTAGAAGAGCTTTAAAAAAGGTCATCGCTAACCTGGCCCAAAGTCCATGCACCCGTGTGCGAGACAGCCACCTCAAGTCACCTGCTGGGAAATCTTCATTCTGCCAATTCCCTTTCTGCATGAAAGAGGCGCTCTAGAACACCCCCTTCTTCCATTTGATAAAGAAAGGGGGCGAGCATCCAGATCACACGACAGGATCAGGTTTAACTGGCGGATCGGCCACTTGGGTCCACACAGGAAGTGGCACCTGATAATTCTAGAACTGACGTGACTGAGTAGCATCAAAATGGAACGTTACTTACTAAGCACACTTTTTTCTACCAGATTTCTACCGTTTCCCTTTCCAATCTCAGTCTTTGGGTGGGGTTTTTTTTGCCCTTTTTTTTTTTTTTTTTTTTCAATTTGTTTTACTAAAGGCCCAAAAAGGGAACCCCAGAGAGTAAAGTGCACCTGCTGTTTGCTGGAAATTTTCTAGCGCTGACATCTCATGTTCACAGCAAAGGGTTAAGTGTCATTGCACAATATAAATTCCCCACTGTTTTTACAGGGAGGAGAACACCTTCAGTCCGTGCAGGCTCAGGAATCTCTGGAAGAGTGGCACAACCACCCTTGTGGCTCTTCTGAATGATAAATCTCCAAGATCAGTTTCATTTAGACCCCTCTGGGATCCCAGCATCCAATGATCTATGTTACACTCAGAGGAGCGGGGTTCTGCTGTTCTTGGGCTTGTTTGCTGGGGGTTTTTTTGGTGTTTTATTTGTGTGTGTGTCTTTATGCTTAATAAGAAATAAAATCAGTTTAGCAGCTAATTCAACTGACCTAGTGATGAGCTTGGTCTGTCCTTACCTATATTTTCACCTGAAGCCTTAACTGCCAAGTTAGCTTGACTGAGAGTAGAAGTAGCTTTACTTTCCAGTGCAGGAGCGATCTTTTGAGATTTTGTCTCTCTGTTATTTTATTTCTGGTACTCTAGAAGTACATCTTCTAAATACCTGTGTCGATGAGGAAAATGTCTTCCACACTGCAGAGCTCTTTCAAGAGAAACTATCAAGATTCAGCACTGATTACTTCCTATGCAGTACTTCTGCAAAGCAAAAGGTAGTTGGCAGAACTGTAGATTAGCTTTTGTCTGAGGTGGCCAGAAGCTACACTGAGGAGTTTGAATTTTCTCCTTTTTTAATTCTTACAGTCTCTTGCTACATGAGGACACACCTCCAGCAGGTGAGTGGCTAAGCCAGAGCTGCAGAGAACCCATTCTCATTTGTATTCAGTATTTTACAGAAGACTTCTTCAGTTTGCTTTGAAACTGATTGTCAAACACTCTAACCTCCTCCAGACCCCGGCTTTCCTTCACCCATAAAGCTGTACGAAACCTTACAAGAGCACAGCTGGTCGATGGTTGGTTCCCTCTGCTTGAGGCACGACTACAGCCAGCAAAGCAGGTTTGGCACATCTGGTTAAGCACCCAGCCCGTAACAACAAACCACACTGGATCCAGCTGCTCGGGCTCAGTATGGATGGATGTGAATTCTCTGGAGTCAGAAGAGTCCAGATGCCTGTGTTTGTAGCTGGATCCTTAGACACACACACTCAGGCTTGAGCCTGATGTAATTTTAACTGACCCAAGCCAGGCAGTTCACTAGGACAGTATGCCACGTGAACGATTTTTAAACCCTCATACTTTCACAGTGTACTGGAGCTTTTTGGTACCAGTTAAACTGCAGCACAGTCTGAGTGTATCTACAAACTTTCACAACATGCTTTCCAGATGTGGTTCTGAAAGGTACTGGGATACCACCTTGGGAAGACAAGAAGCAGACCAGGATGACCTTCATCATTTCAGCCTCTCCACCCGTGCCACAGCTACCAGGGTGGAATTAGTTCCTGGATTTCAGTTTGCTGAAATCAAACTCTACTCCATTCGTTATCTGAAGGCAGGTGGTGATTTGGATTTTTTTTTTTTTCAGGTATACACAAGAGGTCTTTAGAGCTATTGCAGGAGCCACTGCGCTGCTTGGTGCGGTACACTTTCTAGAACAACAGGCTGAGCGAATACTCCGTGCATTGCCATCTCTAGTAGATATCTTGATTGTTTCCAAGGCATGAAAGTGAAGGAAAATTACAATACACAAGTCGGCAAAGGACATATAAATTACATGAATCCCTTAGGAAGGAAAAAAACATCAAAACCTGAACATTTACACAGAGTATGTACAAGTCATAAAATATGCCCTATTTCATGTACATTTCAAATAATTATCAACTTATTAAATTGCCCAAATTAACTTCCATTATCAAATAAGTTAAAGTTGAAAACTATTTTTAAAATTACCCCAGTAAAAATGCACCTAGCACATTATTTTAGTGTAAATACGATGATCTGTGATAAAGGTTCCGTGCAGTTGCACTCTTGTAATAAAATGAAGGGCGAAGATGATTAACAATTTAATTCAGTGCATAGTTAAACTGGTTGGCAAACTTCTCATGCTTTCTTTGGTCCACTCGGTTCATTGCTTTCATCACTCGTTTCATAGCACCTCTGAAAGAGAAACAAAAAAAATAAAAACAGTTATGTTGATTCTACACAATCTCGGTGAATGTTTATGAATGTTGGGGGGGGAGGAAAATGAATTATGATTCATCACAACGAGGCTTCTGAACACTGCACTGATGAGGCTGAACAAATTTGTCTTGTTAATGAAATTAGCTGCAGCAATACAAATAGTTTAATTCAGCAACGATTTTATTAACAGGAGTAAACAAATTAAAAGTCTTTCAGTTTAACAGCTGTGCATTCCACCCTCCTAGCATTATTTCTGAGAGTCACACATCGCAAATTTGATTTTCGAAAGCATGTAACTGCTCTCAGGGGAAAAAAAAAAACCCTAAAAGTATCTAACAGGATCCAAAAAAATTAGCACTCAGAAACCTTCATGAAATCCAACCTGCAGAATGTGTTTGTGAGGGAAGGGGTTGCTGTTCAGTTCATGTTAACTTCCTTTCATAGGTTACTAAAACCCCAAATCGTCAGCTGTGGGCAGAGTAAGACTGTTTTGCTCACCCCAGCAGCATCCCCATTCCTGAGCAGCAGCTCTTTAACTGACAAGCACAACAACAGTTTAGGAAGACACCAGAGATTGTCACGTATCTCTACACAGAGAGACAGATCACTGCTGCAGAACAGCTCAGTGCTTCGAGCTTAGCACAGTCAGGACAGTATCTTGTCCAGTATCTTGAAGGCGAATGGGATCTTTGCTGCCTTATGATGGGCAAGCCTTCGAGCCCTCTGCAGCGCCCGCTGTGCTTGAAGGTGACTCTGGAGCATTCGTCAGATTCGAAAAGGAAATAAAGGAATGAACTTTGGAGCTCTTAAGCTTTCTGGTGCTCCTAAATCCGATGAGGGCTTGCTCCCAGTTGCTGCTCTTTATTTGCTGCCATTGTTTCCTCTGGGCACCATCTTTACTGGGAGATTTCTCTTTTGGGAGTGACCACTATGCTTTTATTTTTTTTCCCCTGCACAATCTTCTGAGTGAAGATCACGCAGATGAGATTTTGAGGGTGAGGAAAATGATGCCTATACAGCACGAACAGGAGTAGGAGAGTATCATAAAAGGCACAGAGAGCGCAGGCCTAGGTATCCTTTAACCGGTAAGGCAGAGGAAGAGGTTCGCAATTCCAGAGGGGTAAGACAGCAGAAGAAAGGCAGCAGCAGAAGTCAAGAGAACGCTCTGTTGTGTACATCTGCCCCCACAGAAACTTAGGGTAGCTGTTGTGCACAGGTGACTGCATCTTGCCTAGGGAATTTTGTTCTTCACTGGATTCTAGAGTGCCCAGTTCTATTGGTTACTTCAGGCGCCTCTAGCACAAAAGCTCAGAAATCCAAGGCTGGTAGTTGCAGGTGTGCTCAGATGTCACCCTGCCTCTATCTATGAAGAAGGAGGTTATCTCCTAACACATCTCTGTAAAGACCTGGACGCTCTGCCAACATGGGAGGTACACTAGCTCAGGGCTTGGCTTGGGGGACGATGTCCCATTTCGGAACACTGCACTGACTGATGCCTCCTTTGATTTCTACATCAGAAACGCAGTCAGCAAGTTCCATCACACAAAGTGGATGGTTTCAAGTCTACTGCTGTTAGACTCTATGTGGCCTTTATCGCTTCTGCAGGTGCTGTGCAGTAACGTGAAGGCAAGACATCCACCTGGCAGGGTGCACCAGCCTTTTTCAGGATCAGGCCCTGCACACTACTCCAGCTCCGCTCCTGTGGTTCTCCCAGAGGCAAGCAGAGTTCTGTTTTAGCCAACTGCTCTCTGTAATGGCTTCATTTCAAAAGCCATTTTGAAACATCTGAAAACAGAGGATACTTCTTAATAATGCTTCTAAATGGTGGGATTAAAGATTTTCTCAGCAGTGACTGTAACGAAAACAAACATTCTGAAGAAACACCTTGGAAGAGGTCTACTTTTAACAAAATTCTGCCAATAAAGTTACCAGAGTAAGGAAAATGTGGTCATGGTTTTGCACTTTAAATATTGCCTAATTGGTAGGAGAAAAGTGAGCCTTTAGCAGTGCAGAGTGGCCTTGACACTTTCATGTCATGTAGCTTTTACATTAGCACCACTGGATTGTGCGATACTGTAAATGAAATGAGATCCCACTTTGATGATCTGTGTGCAATTTCACTTAACTTTATTGGCAGATTCGAGCCTGGGTTTATCACCTATACATTTCAAGTAATTTGGGGTTGTTATAAGGAGCCAAGGTTATCATCTTGTTTAGTGCTGCAAAGCATGAAACCTATTAAAAACATGACAGGTTTGATTCCCTATGCCTGGCACTAACACACACTCAAAATCATTAGCACAAACCCCAGTAAACCAAAACCAGCTTTTAAAATTTATTTTGCTAAAGCTGATACGAAATTCTGATCATTTGAACTCTATGTCTCTGACTTCTAACTAAGATCGGGTGACATGAGAATTGCACAGAAAACGTGCTATAAGCAATGTGGATTTGGCTTTGTTACTATAACCATCACGTCTGAAAAAGAGAAAATAGAATTTAAACAAATATTGTGCTTGGATACTGTTCAACTCATCCAGTATGTTTAGGGAATAATCCCCCACTAATGATTTTATAATAATAATTTTGCTTTTTTGGTTTGACAACTTTACACTTTTCACTTTCCTTTCACTACTTAATTTTTGACATGTGAAACTCTTTAAATAGCTGCAGCTGCTTCCCATTTGATAAAGACCAGAGCCTGCTTAGGCAAGTTTATGTTGCAGCCACATCTAACCAAGACTAGATATCTGAAATGGTGTAACAGAGTGGACACATGGAGCTACTATACGTTCTAAAACCCATTCAGCTTGGTGGGTTGGTAGGCTCCCACTCCCACCTGAGCTAGCGTGCCGGCTTTAAAGCTAACTCACATATGTCTACGTAAGTCATGGACACACCTTTGTTCCACACGCCTAAATGTCAATCCAAACAGCTTCTCCTTGAGCTAAATGTAGGCCAAGAACTACTGTTTGTGCTGGGAGGAAAGGGAGATGTACAGAAACAGCACCATCATGGGAAGAATACTGTGTCCTGTACAGGGAATAATTATCTCCAAACCTTTACAGTGAAGAGAGATCTGCAGCAGGTTCCAGTCCTTGATATTTACAAAAGACAGCAGGGGTTAAGTGAACAAGGACCAAAATATTTTTCTTTACCAACGGAATGCACTCTCACTAAAGGAAGAGAAAAATGCAACGGCAGTGTGTCACGGAATAATATGCAGGACGGGATCCCTGGGTGTCCGTACCGGATTGGAAGGCACTGCATCAGGCCCAGACAGAATTCAGGAGTGAGAGAAGATACCCAGGAAGCCCAGGCAGCAGTCAAAAGTTTGGGAAGGTCTCTGAGTATAGACCAGAAGCTTGAGGGCAACCATCAGGAGGACACTGCTACATGGCAAAAGCCAAGGGGTTTTGACAGATCCTTTTATTAATCGAAGTTCCGCTCAGGACAGCCCATCTTAGGCTTTCAAAAAGAAAAACTTCATTTTTTACTCCATCTGTGCTATTACAGCGTGTCTGACGCTGTGTCATTCTGATCACGTCATCTTTCCAGATCCAGTGCCTTTTGCACACAGAAAGTACCGTCCATCTGATTAACAAATGATCATCCAGAGAAGCCACTACAGCAATTAAAGGATCAAAAAAAAAAAAAAAAAAAGAGAAGTATGAAAAAAAAAATCTTTCATAGGGAAATTCTGTAAATTAGCTGAAATTCCTCCTCAAAGAAATAACCTTGGTCGTCAGTACCTGCTACATGTTACCCTCCAGCGATATGGAAGGCCTTCCTGCCCCGCAGTTAGAGAAGAAAGCTGTCTGGTAAGCGGTGCTCATGTAGAAACAGAAAGTACCATTGAAACCAAGGGAGGCAGCAATTTAACAGGCTTTAGAGAACGTTAGCATCTTACTTATTGAAGACTTTCTTCTCGAGCCGGGAACGAGAAGTGTTAGCCTGCTGCTTCAGGTCTGTCAGATTTGGGTATTTTTTCTTCTTCCCTTTCTTTTTCTCTCCTTTTCCATTATTTTTAGAGGAACCAAGATCCACTCCTGTAGCTGCTTCAACTTCTCTCATGAATTCTGAATCTCGCCACTCTGTTTAAAAGAAAAAACATGCACTTTGAAACTCCAAACCCAGGCAGAATGTGCAGCCTCCTAAGGCACGGGTTCTTGCCACATCTATGTGAGGGCACTGTGCTGTAAGCTGGATACACAAAGGAAGGGGAGGATAAAGCAGTTAGCCAAAATGACAGATCTTGATGAAAAAGCCCTTCCAGTCTGGGATTAGTATCTATTATTAGCTGCTGTAGATAAAACTGTTCTGTAGGGAGACTTAACTCAGGTTTTCACAGTAGCATAGCAGCAAAATTCCAAGGAAACTATTCCATGTAGGAGAGGTGACAAACACAGTGCTTATTACTTAGAAATTGAATAAAATGACAACAGTGTAGCTGAGGAACTTATCTCCAGAAATAAATTCTGAATTTATTCTTTTGCATCTGAAAAAGATACTACTTTTTAAGTATCCCACACTTTCTCAGTTTAATTATCTAAATCAAGTTTCTTCTCTTGACAATAGCACAGGAGTTCATTTATCTCATCCAAAACTTGTTTTACAGTTTTATCAAAACCTTAACACTTCAGAATCCAACCATACACTGTACATGGATTCTGGTCACAGATGCCACCACAGGAAAACACATGAACAATTTAGACTGTAAGCTCTTTGAGGAAGCTGTGGTCTTTCACCTTCAGTGTAGAGTCTGGCATATCAGAACACTGTAACATAGTACAAAGTAGAAAGTAAAAATGCCTCTTGAGGACGGGTTTCTTCAACTGGAATTTAGAAAAACGGCACTGCATTATAAAGACTTTGAGCATATGGGTTGGAAAAAAATGTAGCAAGTATCACCTTCAAAGAATAACATGGTCCAAACTCAGCACAAACATCAGAATTCTGTATTTTAACAACCAGTAATTGTCAATCATGTGTCATATGGTTTCCCATATGTCAGTCAGCCTTTCTTGCCCACAGAAATTGTAACACCAAATATCTACTACCCTTATTCGACATCTATATAGATATAGAAAAATAAACAGTCTTCAACAACTATACAATTTCATTTATACACCAGGATGGTCACTAAGAGTGACAAATACTCGTAACAACATTTCAGGAAGGTCAGAGGCAACGTCCTCACTTAAGTAGATGGTCTTTAGGAATACCAGAGCAATTTTCCAAGGAAAGGTTATATCTGAACTACTATGATAAGTGAAAGCAAGGACTGATTAAAATTCAACACACCAAAAAGCACGAGGAAAATGAAGCTGTGCAAGAACTGAGCAGGAGAAGCATAGAGGGAGAAAACAGAACACACATACTTGATAAATCAGAAGACCTCACAGACTTTTTTTTTTTTTTTTTTTTTGAAGTGAAGGAATACAGAACAGCACAATTCAGATACAGGAACGATTAATCCAAGATTAAGGAAAACTGTCTAAACAGTTTATCTCCCAGTAATAAGAAGGCGTCACAGTTTAGGAACCCAGTGAATGGAGCAATTGTTTAAACACAACGAAAAAATGCCGGCATCCAGTAGAGATGAAATGAGCATTTGAGTAAAATGAAGGAGCAATTTAAAAGCCTTTGAGAAAAATCAATAGAATGCCAGGGAAGAGCAGCCTTTTTGAGCATTGATGGGCCCCTAAAGCTCTTCATACATTGTTACTGAGTTTAGCAGCAGGGAAAAGAAAATTACACAGTTTGCAAGGGTAGGCGGGAATCAATACTGTAGTTAGTAAAGAGATGCTATTTCACATCTGACTGGCCAGCGGCCTGCCTTCACCAGCCTGTCCTGATACCTGTTTGTTAACAAGTCACTAAGGGCTGAAAAACCAGATACTCTTCAGGGTTGACACAAAAAATAGGCACTTAATTTGCTCCTGTGTGCGAACTATTGGAAAAGGATGAACACTGCAGATTAGCAGGTCAGTGTAATCCCACCCGATCCATTGTTTCAGGACTGAAAAGCCCAAAGCACCATTTTGTGGACATTAGCTAGAGTTTAAAATTTTATACTAAGTTAAAAACCACTCCATAACAGCAACAACAGTGTCTTCCAAACATAGTTGTCAGCACACAAACTGTACTACTTTTGCATAATTGTTTTCCCCTTCAATCACACAAGGATAAAAATAAACCTACCATCCAATAGAAGAAAGATGTAGGAAGAATTCTGGTGCAATTTAACCATGCAACTGATCCCCAAATTTTAATATTTTTTTCAATTTTTTTTTTTTTTTTTTCAAACTGTTGTCATTAGCGAATGATGTTGTCAGTCATTAAGACCAAAGCACCTACTGTACAGAACGGATATTGTATCTTTTCCATAGCAGCACTACTCAGACTTGCTTCAAGTCCTTCGTAAAAAAGAGCAAAACCCAAAAAACCAACCCACACCAATGCAAACCAACCAACACCCCCAGAAACCATGAGCCCAAGACAAACAAACAAAAGACCATTTTAATAAGCTGATGAATATGTTATAAAACAAATATAAAAATAGTGAGGCACAGAAAAAAGAAAGCAACAAAAAGTAGTGGATAACAGTATTTCGTGCCATCTGGTATACATATGGCTTTAGAAACCTGTATGGTTTTGTCCAATAAGTTAAGTGCCACAGCGTGGTCAGTATCTCCCCAGACAGGCGGGATGGACCTTTTGTATGACATCTCAGCTTAACAACGGCATACAATAATGCCATACAGCAATATCAGCGCTGGTTTGGGACTAACATACACATCCTTGGGGGCCAGAGGTGAGAAGCCTCTAAGAACACCAAGCTGACACTGTAATAAAAATAAATATTATGTCCAGCCTCTAGCAATGGCAATTTCACAGAAAAAAAAAAAAAAATAAAAAAAATCAATATTTCTCAGTGCAAGTGATTTTTGTACCAGAGTATTAGTTTCTAGTTTGAAACCAGTCCCTCAAGAACACCTACTAGTTTAACTTGATAGTTTTATTTTGTCATAATTAAGTTGGGAACTTTCCTTTTTAGCACAACATCCACACCCCGCCCTGGTTTTGCTGTGACAGACCAGCTGGGCCTGTGCTGTTGGCTGGAGGACAGTTTAGAGCACTTCACTCCAGCTGGACAAGGATGGAAAGTGCCTGCAAACGTAGCCCTTCGCCACACGCAGACATGAGAAGGTGTTCAGTAACTGCTATGTTGGTGGGGTGCTGGTAATGGCCAAGCAGAGTCACTCCAAGGTGGCCAAATCAGAATTAAAGGAAACTGGGTGGTCAGGTGCATGTTCAAATGCACATTTATTTGACACAGAACTTTTTGGATAACAGATCAACAATTGTTTGTTATGCTCTGGAGGGGTTTCATGGAAGGTTTAGTAGCCTCATTAATAATATGTATGACTGAAACTGTCAGTCAGAGCTTAAGAGAGAACTAACTCCTTCAAGGGAGCACACTACAAGTTATCAAAATGATAAAGCCTATAGGCAAGTTTCATTAGAATGCAGAATGCTCACTTAGAATAAATAACTTAAAATAGAGAAAAAACTAAGACCTGTTGGAGGAAGGCAAATTAAATACAAGCATTGAAAACAAATCTGTCCCCTCTAATTATACACTATGTCTTTGCTGGATACACCCCTCTCTCTCTCGTCTTCCCTTGCAGTCCATCAACTTCTAGTAGCTTCCTGGTTGCAGTCGCCCCCGAAAATGTACCTTCTGTCCATCACTAATGAGGTTTAGTTGTACTATTGCAAAAAAAAGGTCTCTTACTCCCCTCAGAAGTCTTCCTGCCTGTGTATTCATTGCTTGCTGTCTTTCTCATTGCCTGTATTTCTTACCTAACAGTCCAGAGCTTTACCCTGGCTAGAAATGCCCAAATAGTCTTGGGGAAAGATGAGCCTTCTCTCCACCTGAAAGCAGCGGCCAGGATGCAAGGAGAAGGCCATTAGTTTTGTTGCCCTTCCCTATTGTTTAAAAACAAAATCCTGAGTATTGCACAGCAACATGTAAACAATTACATGCTGATAAAGTAAAGCCCAAGGTAAGGGCTTCCCTAGCTCAGAGTATTTTCTAGTGATGTTGCACAGATGCACAGCATAACAAGGCCAAGAATTCTCCTTCTAAAACACAAGTAGTGAGTGAGTAGATAGAAGAAACACAGAATAGGATAGATATGAATAGATATAGGAAAAGCAAGTTCCTGCATTGGAACAAAAAAACACTCTGCCAATATTCATGGTAACACACGAATCCTGGTAACATTATCATGACATTTTACGTAAATCACAACTGTTAGGGACCAGCAAGACTAGATGACAACTTTTCAGAAGCATGAGAACAGTTACTGTTGAGCATTTCACAGGAAACAGGTTTAATTGTCTTTAATAAACACGTTCCTTCAGATAAAGGCTATAATTCATCTGTCTGAGAAGTGTTAGGAACTTTGCGGTAACTATTGCAAATAAAGAACAAATACAATGTTAACCTTACTCTGTGCACACATGCATCCATATTTACCACATGAGCAAGAATCACTGCAAATGATCTGTCAGTTAAGATCCACAGGAATTTAAATGAGGGAATGTGGTCAGGAGCAAAACTGAAATATGATCCAGTTCTGTGGACCTCGACCTGCGCCGATGGCAACAAAAGAATCGTCTCCCTCCCTCCCTCCGTATAGCTTGTGGCATCTGTTGTCCAACTGCATGCCGAGACTGTTGTCCAGCTTGTACATACACTGTGTCTGATACAACATATAATATATATACAATGTAGATACAATAAACACAATTATTGTGTAGATTGTAAATATATTGTAGATATTGTAAAAATTGTATACAATATATATACAAAGTTATATACAATAAATATATTATGCTTACATTTAAAGCTTATCTCCCACATCTACCTGATACTAATTTTATTTTTTTTATTTTTTTTTTTTTTTAAGATGCTATGCAGACAAACCTGGTTGAGCTGCTTGCTTCTCAAACCGCATCTTTTCTTCTCTGGCTCTGTCCTCTGCATTAACGGGAATCCCAGATTCATCCCGAGGAATTATCTTTCCGTGGAAAGGGCACTTCAGAAAGATGGGGGGGAAAAAAAAAATCTCAAAACTTCTGAATGAAAAGAAAATGCTCACATGTCATTCAACATAGCTTAAAGACAGACACTGGAATCAAGCGACAAAACTCTAGATTTTATTCCCAGTCCCCCTTAGAAAGCATCAAGATCCCATAAACATGTGTTCAATACACTCAGAATCTCGAATAAATAAGCTCTTTGTGATACGAATATCCGAATTCAGGAGGCCAGCTACCACATCCTGCCAAGTCTGGAACAAGGGCATCAAAGCTGCGTCGCATGTTGTTGTTCACACTACATCCCTATTCTGTAACAATCTCACTTGGAAGTATTTCAGTGCATGCAGATCCTTCAACCTCAGATAACAGAAGAACAGAGACATTAGTCAAAGCATTTAAGCAAAGTATTTCTGCTCAATAGGGCTCAATTTGAGGCTGTGCAGGATTCAGTTGTCATAAAACCTAGTTTGTAAATAAAATCTCTGCCCCTCAAACACCCCAGTTTCTAAAACCAGATAGTATCAAATATGCCTCTAAATGAGGAAAACTTTTCGGCAACCAACTAACTATCTCTGCTTTACTGCCAGGTAGTCATATATCACAGTAATAAATAGCTGTGATGAACGCCAAAAATATTTGAGAGTTCCTTAAATGCTTACAGCTTCCTTACCAAAAGGATGCTTCCCACATAAAGCACACATTAACAGCAACCTTCTCCAGACACAATTTTCTTCCACTCCCTTGAGCTGTATTTACAGTGTGAAGTAAACTTTTATGGACATGTTTTAATGAGATCTTCTCCATGTAGCATGCCTCCTGGAAGTTATGTAACTTGGTGCCCACCTTAAATCGATCTTGCCTTTCACACAGACTTCCATCAGGCATCGGTGCTCGACATTTATGTTTCACCGGTTCAAACTTGCCAGCAAAAGTTATATATCTAGTTTTTAACATTTCAGATATTTCTTTATTTTCCACCTCTTCCTCTACTTCACTGGGTGCCCAAAATCGATGCTCAGAAGCAAATCTGGGAAAACAATGAGTGAAAATTATTCACAAAGTTGTAAGAAAGCTCATAAAGATGCCAGTCTCATCCTGTGCTAAACTTACATGTAAAAGGCAGGGAAGCTTTTCTAGTGAATTAGAAAAACCTAGGAATCTACCATTCTTCCTTACGACCCCTATATTATGAAGACATTTTTAAAATAGCACCAAAGCCTGCCTAGTATTGATTTCTTGTTTAACCTGCTAACCTATTACAAGTCTTGGCTCTAGTTCATGGTCTGACATTCAGTCAGTTATCCGATACCCAGCTTCAGTGAGTAACTTTGTAATTCTGTAGTTAACATTCTTCGTAACAAAATACTTCTATGATTAAACACAGAAGATAGATCAGGGAGGAAACGGTTTGATCTTAACTTGTCTGATCTTATTCCTGGTAGCTGTACTCCTGCAGCAGCAGAGAAGCAGGAGCTGAAGTCAGAATATGTTGCAATCTACTGAGACCAAGGAAAAGAGCAAACTATCAGCTGAGTCTTACAGAGATTCCTTCTTCCAGGTTCTCCTACACAGTGTCCATAAGTCTGAGAAACTTCTGGGGTGTTTCTCTAGGAAAATTAAGCTAATCCACTGAAAATCTATTTTAAAATTAGAGATCTTACCTATATTTACAGACATATACAGGCAAATACACAAAGAAGATTAGCACCATGTCAGTGGACATGGAGAGTGGGAAAGAAGGGGAACAAGGACCCTTGAGTGACGTAGTATTCTCAAATTTTGTCAACAGTATTCATACCATTTCATTTTAGCTACCCTACGCTGCCAACAGTCTATAATGAGAAACAGGCGACCCCAGAGAGTAATTACCTGACTCATTTTAGATGCTAATCTTAGGATGCAATGACTGTCCCTCTGATGGTAAATGTTTCTTTCTCTCAATCATGAAAAGAAATTAGGGTGACCAGCTCCATCTTAGATATCTAACTTCAGATGACTTAAACAACCACCCCATGCCAAATTTAAGGAAATAAGAAGTTAAAGAAAAAATACAGCTAAACTAAGCAAAAAAAAAAAATCCAGCCTGCATGTCTGCTGCTTATTACAAGCAAAACAGAGATTCCTAGATGACAGACGTCTTGATAAGGACTTAAAATTTACACTTTACAATCGCTTTCTGCCACATAGCTCTTCCACCCAATCAGTCCCAGACTGATTTGAGAGGATTTTCTCTATCCATATCCAATTCCTCTCACTTATTAATATCCTTGGATGCAATTCCTACTTCTGAGACTTTGCCTTCTGTAGACTGCCGAGCCATATAGACGTGAACACTGGCTTCACTAATCGCAACGATCTCAATTCGGCAAAGCACATAAGCCAATACTTAACGAATTACTTTAGTGGCCCAAAGAATTTTGATGAATTTTATCTAAGCAAGTTTTCAGCAGATGACAAGGAAAAAAAAGGTGGAGGAAATTCTCTGACCTTCACAACCTACAACATATATAGCTGCTGGTTTTACTGCAATAGTTGACCATTTAAAACTACGTAAAGGGATGAGAACTAGATTAAGCAATATCAAAGCCATACTATGATTTACCAAGTCATCAGAAAAATGCTCAACAAGTAAAATCCTTCTTAAAGAGATTCATGTTATCCAATAATTTCTTCATTCAATATACCTCACTAGCGCCAGAAAATTCTAACCTGCCACAAAGTACAAATAACTTTCTTCTAGTAAATTAGGGGATAAAGGCAAGAGTTATAGCGGAGGCTAGTTCAACACTAAACACAGTAATACGTTTCCACAAGGTTCGGTCAGAAAAAGAAGTTTCACACAATCCTCCAAACTATAGCCTAAACAAAAAAGCTCTAAGAATCTTTATAATATACCAATATGAGTTTAGTTAACCATTTGAATGGTACAGTATTTTAGCTTCAGAAATTACACAGTAAGATTGTACAACAGACAGTAAATAAAAGAATGAAATAACTTCCTTGTTTGCTTAGTTTTAACACAATCCTGAAAAGAAGGCTGACTGCTAGCTCTCTGTTACTAACCTTACAGACACAGGGAGGGGAAAGCATTCCTACAAAGACACTATACAGGATTTCCACGTGCGAGGTAGCCTTACAGAATCTCTTTGTAAAATTCTAGCGTCCTTTGGTGGTCTGAACTCTGCCCCGCCTCTAAATTATCAAATTATAGTCACATGCGAATGAAGGAGCATTTAACAGTTGTGCATACCAACCTTTCCCATTAGGAAAAAGTGCTGTTTAATATTTTTTCCACCCACCTCCGCCCCTGCCAAATCTGCATCCAACCAGTCTCAAGAAAGTTATGTTTTACTTGATATATCATTGATCAATATTTGGGAACAGGACTTAAAATAGCCTGATGCCTACACAGATATTCATAAATATTGTTTCCTACAAGCATACAACTTATTTTCTCCCAGCATGACTTGCATGCAGGTGAGAAAAGAACAAAGCAGTGCTAATTCCCAAAGTTTTCTGATTTCCTGCTGTTGTAATTTAAGCAACATTTTAAAAAAGCAGCACATGAGATCCTTGTTTGGAAAAAATGATGCATGTGACAAGTAAAAAAACTTTCCGTAGATGGATCAGAAGAGGAACAGATAATCAACGAGAAGATCAACACTCCACGCACACTCATAGATCACACTGATCTAGACAACTAACAGAGGCTTTAATGGAAATTACACAGCTAGACATCAGGAGGAATAAAAGACAAGGAACAGTTAACTGAAATCTAAAAGAAAGTCCAGCTCCTGGAAAAATGTTGCTCTCTTCAACAAATTTATATCAACTTTGTTCCTAAGATGACAGGAAGCTTATCAAAAACGAGAATAAATATAAATTCTAAAGCCAGTATGATGCACACAGAGATCCCGGAGCACGCACTAAGTGAGCCAATTCAAATATCCCAGTCACAGTCACAAGAAGTGCTGCACCAGCTAATTTACCCTGACACCAAGAGTAAGCAAACGTAATTCGAGGAGGAGGGTAGATGAGTTTGGAAGCCCATGCTATCCAAAATAGTTGGTTAAGCTGGCATAGCAGTCTCTACAACCTGCCCCCCCTCCCCCAAAAAGGACTGCTACAGCTTTATCAACTTTTAAGAGCTCTTAAACTAGCTTAATGAGTTGTGTGAGTGAAGGCAGAAGTAGGAAAATGGCTCTGCACAAACTTTTTATGAAGCCGATAGTTACTGTGACCTTCTAGAGAAGGTGGCGCTTCACCATTTACCAGCTAAACAAAACTTCTTTAGAAAGGTATCTGCCTGGTAGCTACATTCCCACTATCAAAATCTTAACTTATTGTAAATGCTGTAATTAAGCAAGTGTAGTGTTAAACAGGTGAAGGGGAAAGCCTTTCCCACTTCAGATTTTAAGAATTCAAATTCCATACACATTCCCTATGTGTTGTCTGGTTTGTGGGTTTGCTTTTTTTCCCAGGCATCTTATTGAGACAGCATGTGTGCATACAGAAAAGTTAAAGGAGTTGGCCAATGACTTCCTTAATTTTTCAATAAATATATTTTATGCCCACAGGTCAATGGTTATGGTGTGTGCAGAGTTACTTAAATTATCTTAAGTTAAATTGGTATATCTGTAGTTATAGACTATAAGGTTCAAAAGTGTGCCCTCTATTTTTATTGGAAAGCATAAAAATAAAACAAGGCAGACAGGCAGTGAAATATGCTTCTGATTTCACTTATGACTTGAATAACTCATTTGCAATGTAAAATAAAGCCTTACTACCTTTTTGGCACTATCACAGACAAATGCTTCTTAAAGCCCTGCTGAAAATCTTAACCATTTTATAGGCTTTGAAGAGCTTAGACCACATAAGACAGAACCCAAAGCCTGGAGTAACTGTGTTAAAGCACTATTATCAAATTTCACTGGCTTTCAGTAATTTCAAAGATATTCAGCTTTTTATGCAATCAGGTACAGGGGCAAAGCTTTCCTCTTGTTCCTTTCTGCAAATGCTGTCTTAACACTGTGATTATGGGGTGGATTTTTTGGTTTGTTTTGGTAAGACGACAAACTAAGATACAGAAATACTGCTGAGAATAGGAGGTTGATTTGCAACCCAGACAGTCAGTGATTTTTGCCTTTTTCAAGCCAGGTATGATGCTAAAGTTTGGTGGACTTAGATGACATCTATGCATAGAAGGAAGACTTTGCATCCCAACTTTCATATAAAAAATACTAGTGCTAAAAAGGACTTTTAAAAACTGACTGCTAGAAATAAATTCTGATGTATACCTACCATCTTTTCTCCCTGGCATTGCTACAGCTTTCCCTAAGCCAGCAATGCTTCATGTCCAAGAAATACAAAACCTTCCCAGACCAGAATGGAAAGCGAGAGATACAAACTCAAATCCTGTAAATGCCACCTACGTCTTATGTGACTGAACAAGCATATCAATTTCCTCAGCTACCACTCCATAAAGTCAGAAAAAATACCCCCAACACCTCCCCAGCCTTTCTCCTACCTCGCCTGCTGTTTATTTAGACTGTAAAGTCTCCAGCAGAGGGAACGTCTTTCATGCACTTGCATAGCACTTTGCATAATGAGGTACCAATTTAAATTGGAGTAAGTGATGCCATGCTGCAAATAATACACAAACATGAAAACAGCACCAAAAAATTTGCTTTGAAGCATCAAAGGATATTTAATCAGCATCACAACTTCTCAAAACAAATAACATTCAAAGGTAGAATTTCTGACTTTGTTTATGGGTCCTACCACACAAGGGAAAGAAGAAAAGTAATTATCAAAAGAAACAGCAGTCGCCTCACTGCACGACCTCTGAGTACAAGTAAATCTATATATTTGTTTAATTTGTCTTAAAAGAAAAAGAGCATTACTTGAGAATCTTCCCAGCACTTGGCTGATCCTGCCCCCAGTAGTGAAGATCTAATCCAAAAGGCATGAGGGGAGCTTTAGCCCTTTCTTCTTCCAGTTTTCTTCTCTTACTGTCAGGCTCGTCCAAGGCTGCTGGCTCAGTAGTTGCAGACTCACTGGGGAGAAAATTGATGAAAAGTCATAGAGAACAGCAATGATCACATCAACTTTTCTTTCATTAGATTTTAACATCGACACTGGTATTAATCTTAGATCTAGGACTAGAACTAACTTTACAGGGTAAAGGTACAGACCGTATAAGACACAGACCATAACACCACACACTAACTACAGCACACTGCACCATGAAGCTTAATTAAGCACATTCAGCTAAAGCTAGATATACTCTATTATCCCATGGGTGTAGAAGCCTACAGATCTAACGGGGGCAGTAGTGGATCATACACGTTGTACTGTAACACGAGTTACTGATGTGGCAAACCGTTTTTAGAAAGATCTTGCTCCTGTAAACTCATGCTCATGTTTGCACGGCAGTCACGCAGATTGCAAAGTCTTTGTTTTTGTTGATAAAGCTCCTTCTTGCAGACTTGTAATAGTCATTGTGCAACACCACTACAGAATTCATTAGTCCTCAAAACCCACAGTACTAATACAGAGACCTTGGGTATCCACTGATAGAGCTGCAAGTGGTCTCAGTCACCTCACTGGAACATTAACTTTTTAAAGATTAAAAATAAAACCATACACCTGAACACTTCAAACTCCAAGGTTCTAATGAAGCAACCCCCCTTCTCTTTCTGACATTACATTCCCGCTTGCTAGGTTCTGGGGGCTTTCCTGGGAAGTGTCTTTTCAGGAATACACCACCAAGTAGATTACTCCAGTCTTATCCACAAATCACAGATAAACACTAGACAAGGCTGGAGGTTCACCAATCTTTGAACAGGATTGGCAACAAATACGTCTTCAGAATCAGTAAAACACGCCTCCAGGCAGCACTGACAGTGTAAATCACCAGGACCCAAGAGACTGCTGAAACTACTTTCTAATTTAGGATTAGGATATGTTCTGTTTAGTTGCAAATCAAATATTACCCCAATAAATGGGGATGTTTGGGCTTTTTTTGTTAGGAGAGAAGGGAACACTTTGTATTTTCATAGAGACCATTTAGACCAAATAAAACCTAAACCAACGGAACAGTAAAAGGTTCCAAATACTAAGCAGTGAATGCACATCTCACCAAAAGAACTGTAAATTCAAAATGAAGCCACAACAGCCTTAACAGTTTGCCTAGTTCATGAGCACTTTTCTGTGTGCTAATGAACTAACACAAGTAAGAGCAAGCGGTTTCTACAAGAATTAAAAGAAAGATAACCTGGCACATGGAGGTGGCAGCTTCGGTAGTTTGTCTCTAATAAGTTTCAGCGTGGCAGCTGCACAGGTTGGGTCAAGTTCATCTTCATTCTCTTTCAGCTGGGCGCGGGAGCTCAGAGCTGGTCCTACTGACGTCTTCCCCACCAGTGCTCTTGGAGGTGACTGGGGTTCTAGCCCTGCAAAAACACCTTGATGTTTAGGAGCAATTCACTTCTCCCACCCTTGATGCTTCACAGTGGGGCCAAACAGCTCAGGATGCTGATGACACGTCTTACTGCTTTCAGTTTGCATTAGACATCAATCCCACTCAGACTGAGTGATAATTCTGCCTGTGAAAATTTTTCTTAGTATGGAACAGAAACATACTGAGTAACTATCTACAGCAAACCAACTTTTAAATTTGTATGACATGGTGCAACAACAAAGAATGAAGAGGAGGCTGAGGGGAGACCTTATCGCTCTCCACAACTGCCTGAAAGGAGGTTGCAGCGGGGGGTCGGTCTGTTCTCCCTAGTAACAAGTGATAGAACAAGGGGAAATGACCTTAAGCTGCACCAGGGGAGGTTCAGGCTGGACATTAGGAAGAATTTCTTTACTGAAAGGGGTGCCAGGCATTGGAACAGCCTGCCCAGGGAGGTGGTGGGGTCACCATCCCTGGAGGTTTTTAAGAGAAGGTAGTTGTTGTACTTAGGGACATGGTTTAGTGGTGTTGATAGAGCTAGGACAAAGGCTGGAGTCCATGATCTTGAAGGTCTCTTCCAACCAAAATTGTTCTATGGTTCTATGATTCTACTTTACCTTGGAAAGAAGGATTTTAACAATACGTGACTCTCTAAACTGCGATACTGCTTTTTGTATACAAGTTGCTAGTGTCACATCTGCACTTAATGTTACATCAAGGTAAAACAGCAGAAAGTAACTACTGGCACTACTGTAGAGTCCCAAAAGCCACCTAAGAGCAGTAGAAAGCAAGAGGAAAGGCATACATCCACATCCTCCCGCGTGCTGAGACTAATTCTTTGTGCTGTCTCAGCAATAAGTCCCGCTAAAACTCTTACAGCAAAGAGAAACCACTTCTGGATGGGGGATTCACTGTGACATATGACTGACAAGAACAAGAACCATTGTCACCCAGCACAGCTGGCGGGGAAGCATGCCCAGTGAGAAAACAAAGTGTGTGAGTCATGATCCTGTTCTTTGATGATTCTCAGCGACCATATTGACCCTTCAGAGCTGAGAATATAAAACAAAACAGCTTTTTTTTTTTCCTTCCTGATTTGTTAAGGGGCAGCACCACTGAGAATAGTTGGGTTTCAATTCCTAAATAGATCTGCAAACAGAATTATCTAGAAAACATTCTTTCACAGACACTAAAACACACAATTTGCCAAGATAAAATATCTAAGTGCAGGCAGAAGCAATGCATATGCCCACAGAGTACACTCAAGAGACAGTAAATGCCTGAGCTACACCTGAGGAACAAGCCCACTGCAAGGCAGTACCAGGCACTAACGTTCAGCACCAGCAGCTCAGTGGTGGGGCAATTTAATTACTTTCTACCACTAGATTAGACAGTCAGCACGGACTGTAATGATGCAATTAGGTAGGCTGAGCAGTTAGACAGCACACGCCTCTACCCGCCGAGCTACAGAAGCAACTTTATTAGCTGGCAGTCGTAAGAATTTTTCAGCCAACAACAGCTAAAAATGGAAAGATGTGATCCCTCATGCTAATGTAACAGACGACATTTTCCCCATCAGAAAGCCTTTTTATTAAAAAAAACCTGATTGAAATGCGAAGGCCCATGCCCCCCCCCCAGCCCCTCCCCGCAAATCAATACAAAAAAGCCATGGTTTCACAAGACTAAAATTTTAAGCAAATATCACACCCACCTTATGAAAAATGACCTGAGTTTACCTGACATGTTTTAGCCATTATTTAACTGGGAGTTTTAGTCTCTTGCCCACTTCTAGCCAGCCTTGAAGTTGTATCCCCAAATATTCTTGCTTTGCTAATTTGTTTTGCTAATCATTAAATGTATCAGAAGGTATCAACTAAAAAAGGAAAAGCTAAAGTGATATGACATGCATGCCCTCTGAGAGGGAAATTGCAGGACCCATAGCGGCAGGTAGCTTTGGTGCACAAAATATTTCCATTCCAGAGAAAAACCTATTTTTCACAAATAAAATCAGAGCAACTTGCCCTGGCCCCTTCTTTCCACCTTATAAGGTCTTGCAGTAATTCATCCTGACCTTGATTCATTTGTACCAGACGTTCCCTGTAACCTATGGGGTGTAACCACACAGAAGGCATTGCCTGACTCCAGCTACAGGTCAAGCTGCTGAGCTGGCAACCTTCTAGATCCACCCCCTAGATACATATGGGTCTAAACCAGTCCCTAGATCAGAAGCTGCGTCCTTGCACAGGGAATGACATCTCCTCCTCATTTTCCAAGGCGCCAAGCTCAGGGCACTGAGAAGAATGCTCTGTCAACCCCCTGCTTAACCCAGTTCCCGGACACCCTCTCCCCAGAGGGAGCCAATAATCCCAATTCAAAATCCACAAAGCTAGAGCCCCTCAGAAGGAGAGGGGAAATAAAAGGAGACACCCAGGTGGGTCTGGCACACGTGCATGTGTAGCCTTTAAATTTTGCTGCGTACAGTGAATGGTTCCTTCAGTCATTCCCAGGTCTTCTTAATACAACAGACTTCAGACAAGAGAGAGAGACTCAGATGATGAGGACTCTTCTAGACCATCTGAGACCCCACGTCTGTCTCTACTATGGCCTATACTGGTAACAATGAAGGAAAATATTTTAAGGGCAAGTCGATTGAGGGCAGAGGCCAGTATCAGCAACTGTGGCAGATGGTTTATCTGCCCCTTTCAAAACAAGAGAGGGAAGGAAATAGGATCTAGAGAAGAAAAGAGGATGAGAGACAACTAGCAATCAGCAGTTAATAAGCGTTCATAAAGATTTCCCTGTCTTCTCCTCACTGTCCCACAACTCAGTTCATTCCTTCTGCTTATGCAGTGTATGACAAAGAAATACGGACCATCTTAACAAAAGGGTTGAGGGGAGGCAAGTATATCCGTGATTCAACTTGTGTGTGATAGTATTTTCCCATATCCATAGAGAGCTCGGGCCCAGCTCTGGCAGGCTGATGCATTCCACCTTTCCTACAAAAAGGCTACTGGAGTATTGTGTAGGTGCAGCACAGGAGTGAACACACATCTGAGAGCGGGTATTTCAGTAGTGCCCGTCCTGCGGCTGTCCCGGAAAGACTTCAGCAAGTACCCAGCCAGCCGCAGGTCTGCAGGCAGCAAGCATTGCAGAGTGGGGACAAAAAAGCCAAACAGGCATTCACCACAATCTGAAGCCAGTGTCAAACCCAGCTCTTCCCCAACTCCCTGTTCTGCCCTCTGGAAAACACCCCAAAACCAAGGCTCACATTCCTGAGGCAGGGTATCCTGACAGGCAGCGCTGCTCGAGCTGGCAATGCTTCCTGGGAACTGCAGTTAGCACGGACGGGGATGCAAAGAAGGATCACCTTTTTCATGTCCTCAGAGTGGAGGTTACAACCAGCTGTAGGTGGCCTGACAGAGGCCACCCTGCTGTTGGCTGGTGATGCTGCAGAGCATGCCTGACACCACTCCTCCCTTAGTCATGCCCCAGGCACGTACTCTGATGGAAGCAATGAACATGCCACATTCACCTTGTTACCTAACCTCCCTTCCCAAAGTCAACGAGGCTTTAGAGAACATTGTTTAAAAAAAAAAAATCATTTAAAGGACTAATCTGTGCATTGGAAAAGGATCTCGAAATTAGCAGAAGGACCAACAATAAGGGAAATTGTAATGAAGCATAATAGGATGGAAGTAATCAGAGAAATATCTAGGCTAAACAGCAAAAGAAATGAACTCGTGACATTATTAGGCTGTGGACTTGCCACTCAAGAGGGATAACGGTGCCCCCACAAAAATGTTTTTTTAAATAGCACTTCAGGGAAATATTAAGGGACCAATTTTAACTTTATGTGTCTGGAAAGGGGGCAGGATAGGACTCCATCTCAGCTCCTGTCATAGGCTAGAAAGGGAAAAAGATCTTCTCAGATGCTTTGTATCAAAGCGAAACAGAATTAACCCAAAAGATTCTGTTATAACCACACTTTAGAACCACTACAATTCGGAAGAGTAAACTTCATTTTATGATAGAAACAGACACAAACAAACAGCCCTTTGGCATGAGCAAGGTTAGCTGAGCAAAATAAGTCATCGACTGTATCTGTAACATAGAATTGCTCAGACTGTATTTAGCATTTAAAATTGCCTTTTTCCTCTCTTTTTTTTTTTTTTTAATGACAAGAATATCCTTCTGAAAAGCATTGTTTAAAGCAACAGTTTTGAGAGCACTTGTATGCATACTATTTACAAACTGCCTCAAAGTCAGAAGGTAGCAGGTATGTCTCACACCTTTTTTCCTCTTCAGAGAGAATATGTGCATATTCATTAAAAGTTCTCGGGAAACCTTAGTTTTATTCCAATTTTTTCCTATGACATTTACGGAAAGCATGATTGCTCATTCACTACACTGGTTCTGTTTGAGGGGGAGAGGATGCGACCAGCAGAGACAAGCAGTCAGCAACACACAGAAAAGGCACGAGAGCTAAATGGACAACGTGACATTTAGATAGATAAAATCACATCCAAAAGATCAATATTGGAATTCTTAAGAGTTACAAGAACAAAATATTTTCCCATTGATTTCTTATTTTAAACTATTAACAGGAAAATGGCTAAAGGTAAATACACTACGGCATCAGTAACACCACCTCTACCGTGGATTTCTTAAAAAAAAAATAAAATACTTGTTTATAAAATTAGCTTTTCCTAACAAGATAGACAAGAGTCACCGCACAGCCAGCCCTCGCTGGATGCTGTTCAGTGTCAGGGTGGGGTTTTTCTGTTTTGTGTTTTAAGTCATAGACGGGATTAAGGGCAGTTTTAAAAGCAAAATTCTTCTTAAATAAAATACACAGAGCAGCAGAACTCTTAACACAAGTACAGTACCTGGGTTCAAATTGTTCCAATAGCAGCTTTTAGAAAGAATCATAAAAATGCTCAAATCCCCTTTTTTGTTTAAATTGACCAAATGGCACCTATTTGCCTGAAGCAATAA